CCTATTTAGGCCTTTTTTTTAAAAAAAGGAAATGTTTTCATTTCATGAACATTTCTTACTTCTTTTATATGACCTTCATTTATTGCCAATCAGTTTAATGGGGTGCCCATGCTTTATAGTGAGAGTGGTAGGACCACATACCAGCTTTAAACTGGGAGAGGTGACAGCTGCCAGATGTCAGGGGCAAGCTAGTTTTCCTGTGCAGTAGCTGGATAACATCAGCTCCTCTGGCAGATGCCTGGGAGAACCAGATTGCCCATGAAAATGGAATCTGATTTGGCCTATCATGGCCAAGTAAAGGGTGGTCTTTTCCAGGGCACAAAACCCAGCTGCACTTCTCCCCGGCAGCACATTGCAACATATGTCTGTGTCCAGACTGACACTATTTGTGGGAAGGATTCAATAACATTCTGGGAATTTCAGTGTCTACAATTAAAGTTTTTGAAAGCACACCCTCACCCTAGCACAATTAATCCAACAACAACAACACTTACTTTTGCAGTTAGGAAAGTGACGGAAAATGCACTGAAAAGTCTCCTCCTCCTCCTCCTCCTCCTCCTCCTCCTCCTCCTCCTCCTCCTCCCAGCAGCAGAGTATTAATCAGCCTTATATATACAGTGGTACCTCGGGTTAAGTACTTAATTCATTCTGGAGGTCCGTTCTTAACCTGAAACTGTTCTTAAGCTGAAGCACCACTTTAGCTAATGGGGCCTCCTGCTGCTGCCATGCCACTGGAGCACAATTTCTGTTCTCATCCTGAAGCAAAGTTTTTAACCCGAGGTACTATTTATGGGTTAGAGGAGTCTGTAACCTGAAGCGTATGTAACCCGAGGTACCACTGTATATATAAAACTACAAATACAACTACAACACTTAATTTAAAACTACACCCCCCCAATAAACAACACTCCCCCAAGTTAAAACACCATCCCCATCAAACCCTCATTCCACCCCCGAAGTGCCATCCCCAGAGGGAAAACCCCCTTGGTGTCATCTCCACTGAGGGCAGCCCTGCCCCCAAGGCAGGCAAGCTTTATAGAGCTGCCCCAGCAACTGGGGCACACGTAGCTGGAGCAGCAGGTGTTTCCAATGCTTTCTGCTTGCCCAGGATTCTGGTTCCTGCCCGACTTGCACTACTGCAGGCAGGTCCTGGTCTGGAGATCCAGTAGAGGCTGCAGGTCCAGCAGGTGGGGGCAGGCAGCAGCTGCAGGCAGGTTTAGAAGAAATGAATGAATGAATGAATGAATGAATGACAGAAGGATGCACCCCACAAGCAAATCAGGGTGAATGTTCATTGCTGTATAACCTCCCTGCAAAGAAATCAGAATGAATGCTGAATGAAAACCAAGCATAGTCTAACCTCCAAATAAGCTTTGTGCAAGCAAATCAGGATGAATGCTCAGTCTGGAAGAACTCAATGAATCTGCATTGCAAGTATCTGCATTGTAAGGAGCCTTTGAAGAAGTAGATGTGGCCTCTGTTGTTCAGCTCAGTAGCTCACGGTACTGTTTCTCTAGTGCTAAAATTTGGCTTACATAAAATACACACAGCAGTCAATTGTTTAGTTGGACCACATTCAATATCTGCATAATGAAAATGTTTAAAAAGCCTAGTGAAGCTTTGTTAGACAAATGGTACCCAAGTAGCAGACCATCTTTCTTCTTCTTCTAAATTTATTTTTATAAAGATTTATGGTGACGAAAAAGATCAAAGATTTAATACATGGAAATAAAACAACCTCCCTGGTGGTTGTGTTCTCAGCACATGCCAGATATGACTATCGCCCCATTCATCCTCTCCGCACAAAGATCCATACATCGATAACAACAGCAGAGCCATTCATAATGGGTTGGCCCTCCAAAGACCAAGGGAGATAAATATAGGGAACAATTTTTAAAAAGGAAATGTCTCCTTTTGAGATTTATCCCCTGAAAACTCTAGTGGATGATGAAACAGTAACATTTTCCCCTGGAAGAAAATGAATTTGAATTATAGATGTGTGCGACAAAAAAGAGGCTTTATAAGTGTGAAAGCTGGTTCCTTCATGAAAGCTGAGTCCCAAGAGACACTGGATGTGGAGCATGACCAACAGGGAACTTGACACACAGTGAAAGGTGGCTTGATGGAAGACCACTAACATTTGAATCAACTAGAAGATGAAGAATGACTCCAGGACTGAAAGTGGACAGCCTAAACAAATAGCAGGTGATGGCTTTGATGCAGTAATGCCCTATTGATATCTTGTGTTCTTCAAGAATTATCAGATAATTGACATGATAAGACCTTAGTGAAATAACCTATAGATGAGTCACTCAGATTAGCTGTCCACAAAGATGTGGGCTGTAGCTGTAGATGAGTTGCCAATATGCAGCTGACACCCAGCTCTATCCGTCTGTTCCATCTGAATCAGGAAAGGTAGTTGAGGGGTTAGACCAGTGCTTAGAGGCATTGATGGGTTGTAGGCCAATAAACTGAAGCTGAATCCTCAAGAGATAGAGGTGCTATGTGTCCCAGGTTCTCTATCCTAGAGGAGGGGAAGCAGCCTGCCCTGAATGGATTTGCACTTCCCTGGATGAGCAGGTTCACAGATCTGGGGTGCTCCTGGATTCAACACCTTCACTGGAGACTCAGGTTGCTTGGTGGCTAGGAGTGTTTTTTTCACCTTTGACGGGTGCACCAGCTACAACCCCTTTTGGACAGAAGTGATTTGGCCATTGTACTCCATGATCTGCTAACTTCCAGAGTGAATTGTGTGTGTGTGGGGGGGTGCCCTTGAAAACAATGCAGAAACTTAAGGTACTTTCCAATATATATATTTTTAATCACTGACGTTCAAACCATATAAGAAGATATCTCAATTTCTCTCATGCAAACCAGTCAAGTTACACCACGAAGAAAGTGTAACTTTGATGACAAACATAAAAACTTCCTTCATGTGGTGATTGCCAACTGAGGACTAGGGAAACTGTGGGGTAAATATGTTGCAGAACATCCAGGCTGTCAGGGCAGCAATTTGAAGTGAGGCAGGAGTTGGGGACAAAGAACTTAGAGAGCTGTCTTCTGCTGAATCAGACCATTGCTCCATCTAGCTCAGTATTGCCTACACAAGTGCCTCTCCAGAATTGTGGATAGAAGTTTTCATTAACCCTATCTGGAGACTGAACCTGGGACCTTCTGCATGCAAAGAAAATGCTCTACCACTGAGTTATGTGGAATTATACACTGGCTGGGATTAAAGATCAAGAAAGAACTGGAGAATAAACCAAGAGGCTGAGATATGGATAAAGTCAGAAGTCAGGACCAAAGGGCAAGTTAGCACTGGAGGAGAAACCAAAAATACAGAAACACACCAGAGCTCAGGAAGACCATATTGTTCAAGCAAGGCATAACTGGAAAAGGAAGCCCTCTTAATGCTCTGTCCTCTTAACTGAGTGGGTGGAGTTCAAGATCTGAAGATGCTTGCTGAGAAAGTGGTGCCATACCACAAAACCATCCCATATCAAATCTGCCCTCTCACCAGTGGTTGATACAGAAGCAGAAGTGGGGCACTGCTCTCAGTCTGGAGCATGCTTACAACCTGCCAACAACAAACTATGTGTCATGGCCCAGGGCTCAAACTTGCCCTTCTTAAGGAAAGAGGACCTGGACACTGATCAGCTCTGAAACTAGGAAGAGGATTTGCCTTTGGAAATGGATTCTGATGCTGCTACCTTCTCAGAGTGCCATTATCAGAAAAGACCACAAGGCCAGCCCATGTTAGCAGATCCTTACACTTCAAGATTTCCAGTTATGAAGCTACAGTGATGCTGCAGTTGCCTTTGTGTCACTGTAATAAAAAACACATGAAACAAGCTGGGCTACTTTAAAAGTGAGGGCCTCATTCACTGCTTGGGGAGGAGCCAATGCCCTAAAGGAAAACAAAACCCCAATTAGATAATTGGAACAAATTAATTTATTCAGGCAGCAAGCCCAGCTTGGGGGATAAGCTATGAGCCATAATGGCTGTGTTCTACTTCCACTGTTGGGGACTGTATGCCTCTGAAAACCAGTTGCTAGAAATCAGAGGAGAGCAGAGTTGCTGCTGCACTGACGTTCAGCTTACAAACTTCCCACAACCGTCAGGGTGACCACTATGAGAACAGGATGCTGAATTATATGGGCCTTTGTTCTGATCTAGCAGGGCTCTTATTATGTGTTTAGGAGTAACAGTAACAGTGGACTGTTGCCGTCATGCCCTGCCTGTGTGCTTTCTGGAGCCATCTGACTTGCCATTGTGACAACAGAGTGCTGGTCTATATGGACCTTTGGAATTATCCAAAAGGAGTTCTCCATAGTGTTACCTGCTTCCCCTTTTCCAAAGATAGATTGACACTTTGCCTGACAATGGTTTTGGAAGCTCCTCCTTCCTGGCCATAATAGAACCCAACACTTTGCTGCATCTGATCATGCATATTTAAACCTACCTCCTGAAATCCATCACTGATTTATCTTGACCCCATTCATAGACCACGGATGTGCACTTAATTGCAAGTTTGCTTCTCTGGAATCAGAACCCAGCAGAAACTATCTCTTCACAATTTGGTGGTAGGCCCAAACATAATGTCCAAACATGATCATTTTGTAAGTAGAGTGAACTAAAGACACACACAAGTTTTTCAAATAAAATACCCCCACTATTTGGTTGACCAGCCATCATAAGCACTCTTGTTGAGCACCTCATTAATTCTGGATGGGAGTGAAAAGAAATATTCTGTTTGGCTGGGAAGAGGCTCAGCAGCCTTGTAGCACTATTATATCATGATCAAACGAACACTCACAGGCAGGTTTTCAAGGTCTGCCGGCACCGGGGCAACATATCTGAAAATGATTAAGTTACTCCAGTAATTATTAAATTGGATAGCACTCAGATCTGTTCTGCTCTTTATTACACACAATGATTCACCGTTTATAGGGTCATAAATCCATTTGGAAGAGGAGTAGTGACTCCCTGCAGGGGACAGGCTGTGACCGTTTGGAAACAGAGCCAAATCTCAGATGTCTCATGCTTCTTGTTGAGGTGGGGGAAGGATGAAAAAATGATGCCTCTTGACCTCTTGATGGTGGCTGATGATTTGTAATGCAACAAGACAAGTTGGAAGGGGGGGCACCACAGCTGGCAAATGTGCCTTGAGGAAGGGAGATGTTAAGCAAAGGGAAAGTAAAAGGCTTCCGTCTGAGGCTGGATCAGCCACTTAGCAGGCACTGCAATGCTACAACTATATACAGTGTGGAGTGTACCTTATAACAGCATAGCTACAATTACTTGCTATAAAGCTCAGACATGATGCCGCCTCCCATTTCTCCACTGTTTGTATGCTGAAAAGTAGGAAGATAAAAATAGCAATAAGTAGCAGGACCTGTTTCCCCAGCTGCCAGAGGGCCCCCCTTCTGTATCCATATGATTCTAGAGCAGGGGTGGGAATTTCATCTCACATGCCCAATTAACCTCCCAATTTGGCTCAAGGACATTTCAGCCAAGCTGCACCCTCCTGCTCTGTAGCTGATGTCATATGTGGCTGATTAACATCCTTTATCATTTTAAATGTGTTTGTGGGAGTGGGGAATAATTGGTTTGTTTTTGTTTTTATTATTTTATGTTTTTATCTTGTATTTTTATGCTGTGAACCACACTGAGGTCCTCAGATGAAGGGCAGTATACAAATTTAATAAATATATATATCAAATGTGGGGCAGGTAAAGACCTGACTCAGCTTAGGTGAAGCCAAGTACAGATGTGGCTCAGATTAGCTAATCAGCTGATTGTTGGGTCTTGTGGAACACTTTGAAAGTCACTTTGCAGATTGCATATTTGCCCACATTGACATCTAGTTCCCCACCCTTTCTTTACAGTAAGAGCAGGAAGTATTGCAGTGTGTGGACAGGAAGCATGATGAACTGCTCTACTATGAAACCAAATCAGAGTGGGGCAGATAGTTCCTACCCTATCTGTTCAGCTATTGCATCCTAAGGAAGTAGCTCCCACAGGAGGTAAATAATGCAGTAGGCACTCCTAGGCAAGTGGATTGAATAGGAACTGGCAGAGCAGGCAGAGTCCCATCTACATTACAGGTTCCAGAGAAGAGATGCAGAAGGCACAAGATGCAATTCCACAAGCAAGCACAGACAAATGCAGTGTTTTCAGGACCCTGGACAACCTCCCTCACCACTGGTGGTTTGCAAAAGGGAGGGGGTGTCATAGTCCTGGGCTGCCAGCCATGGCAGAGTTCAGTGGAGGGAGAAGACAGCCATCCAGCCAAGCCTCAGTGGGGTACTTGCCTGGAGGCAGAGTTCATACACAAGGTCCAATTCAGTCCTAAAGTCAGGAATATCTCAGTTAATGTAGTCAGATGATCCAGAGGTCAAGAAAGCCAAGGGTCCAAAGTCTCAAGAAGCAGCAGGGTCTGGCCAGGAACAACGAATGTAGTTTTCAGCAACTGACTGAGGCTGGAAACCCTGCTTAAGAAAGCTGGAGCCAGCTGGTTCTCCTCAGGAGCAAGAAGGCTGATCAGCAGCAGGTGGAGTCACTTTGCATTCTATTCCTTCAGGCTGCTGCTCAGCAGGTGAAGCTGACTCCTGGCCCATGGCAGGGAGCAGTGATTGCATAGGGCAGAGGAACCAAATTGCAAAGCCTGCTTAATTAATACATTTCTTTTTACAAAAGTAAGGGGTCTTCTTTGCAGAGGACTCCTTGCAAAACTAGTTCAGGGAGCCATGGTGTAGCTACTCCTCCCTTCCTTTGCAATAGGAAGTGGGAATTGTTTTCAAGTTAGTATTATACAGTATTAGACAGGAATGCTTGCAAAACCTATATGGTCTTTTGAGGCAAGCTGGGCCGCAAGTGTGTGTTTGCATATCATGAATGCAAAGCAATTACTTGTACTTTTTCCACTGGTGCCAATGCCAGGTAGCCCTGGGGGCCCAAGCACCCACAATTTTTTTCTTGTGAGTGCCTGGCCTCTGCCCCCCCACTGCTGCCACCACCACCTGACCTCCCCCCCAACCATGCACCACCAACATGCACTGCTGCTGCCTCCCAACCTTCGTCTTACCTCTGATGCTCAGCCGCCTCGGTGGCAACTGGACTGGGGCCTGTGCTTCTGCCGTAAGGCCTTTATTGGCACAGCAGCCATGAACAGAGACTGTGCAGTGGACAGAGGCCCCATGGCAGAGGTGCAGGCCCCAGTCCATGCGCCACTGCAGCATGTATGCATGTGCCATACTATGCCGGCATCATATCACAGTGATGTGATGTCATGCAATCATGTGGCTGTGATGTCATCGTGTCACAGTGTGGTGCGTGCATGCTTAGCACCCACAGTGGGGGACCCAGGTCAGTATTGCTGACCTTGTCGGTGGGTAATGCAATGCTTAGAATCTCTTCTCAGCCCTCAGACGCTTGTTTTCCTCTGGGTTTCTCCAGAGATCTTCAGAGTGATTGGGACTGGTCAGGGCATGAACTGCACATCAGGAATAAAGTTTGCCTCCAGAAAAGACTTTCTTTCTTTCTTTCTTTCTTTCTTTCTTTCTTTCTTTCTTTCTTTCTTTATTTTCTCACTGTTTTCCATGTTCCAAATGCTGCACATTTAAAGCATTGTTGCCACCCATGTAGAAGCCCACGCCAAAACCACTACACATTTCTTATTTAAAAAAGAAAGTCACTAGAATGAAAGCAATTTGCCTTTCACCACAAGAATATGCATTAGTAGCTGGTTATTATGTCCGTATTTTAAATAGCTCATTTTCTGCAAATGGGTTGGGCCCACAGAAGCACTGGGGTTCAAGTTCTCCTGAGTCATTCTTTTAAGCCCCGTCCCCCCTCCTTTGCCACCTATTTTCGTTCCCCCTGCCCACAAGCTCCATCCTCCCACTAATTGAACAAAGTGGACTTAATTTGAATTAAACTGTCAAGAAATCTTCCACTTAAATTGATTTATCTGCTTCTTCAGCTGGAATGGATTCATTTCAGCACATTGTATAAGAAGCCTGTGTTGATGGATTACATCTCGTGGAATGGAAACATTTTTTAATGCAACTCCATTAAATTCTACTCAGGTATGAAAAGGAACAAGAAGAAAGGGAGGATATGAACATGTAGGGAACAGAACATTGGGGGGGTGTCGGGGGGGGGGGAGCCTGACAGTATATGAAGAACCTTCAGACGTAGATTCTCACTGTCAAAAAATCATTATTTTTTGATTAGCAAACCCAAGACTTCCAGAGCTTCCTTAAATTATTCTCCTCATTTCTAGCATGACTCATATGCTTCTAATAAAAGTGATGTCCTCATTATGACCCTCCTAAGTACTTTACCTTATAATGGTGCTGCACTATTTTGCCTTGATCAGACCTCTGGGCACCATGGTTTAAGAAGGATATTGACAAACTGGAATGTGTCCAGAAATGGGTGACAAAGAGGTGTCTGGAGGGTAAGCTAAAAGACGGAAAATGTTGGTTATGTTTAACCTGGAGATGAAACCCATGGGAGGTAATACATCAGCCATATTCAAATATTGAAAGGCTGTACCACAGCTGATGAAGAAAATATGCTGCCTGTGGCACCAAGATATAGGGCCCAAAACAATGGCTTCAAGTTGGGGGGGGGGGGGGTTTGATGAAAAGATAAGATGAACTTCCTCACAGTATGAGGTAGTGTGTGATCAATCAACTCCTGCCCGGGAACCAATGTCCTCACTGTGGAAGGACGTGTGGGTCCAGAACTGGCCTCCACAGTCACTTACCGACTCATTGTTAAAACCTTGTTTATGGAAGACACTCTTACTCGGCTATGAGTGATCACCAAAGAAGAAGAAATGAGGTAGTCTTCACTGGGACATATTATACTTTGAGAAGTTCTGAAGAGGCTGGATAGTCACCCATCAGTGGCAGATTTCTTGAATCAAAGGGAAGCTGAAATTTGCCATTATGGCTGGGGCTGATAGGAGATGAGTCCAACAATATCTGCTTGGGCAGAAAAACAAAGCAAAAAACCTTAACTATCAGTCAAAGACAAAACCTATAAACTAGGGCTCCTCGCAGATGACCAGATGGTCACAACACCAGACTCCATAAAGACAGCAATCACTCTAACTCAGAGGTTTTCAAACTTTTTGAGTCCATGGCTCCCTTAACCAAGTACATTCTTTCTGTAGCACCCCTGTGGGGCTCAGGAGCCCAGTTATGTCCCCCTTGCTTGCAGAATTGGCAGCCTCTCATTCTTTTTTGAACACCCTCCCTTGTGGATTGTTGCCTCAGTCTCCTCTCCTCTCCCCTCTCCTTGGGAGTCCTCCAGGCAGCTGCTGCTGCTGCCCCTGGTCTCTGAGCTGCACCGTCCCAAAGAGAGGTGCCTCCCAGAGGCACCATTCACCTGCAAAGCTTATAGCCAGGGCTGCTGCAATAAACAGCTGCACAAGCCTTTGGGAGGCAGAGACATGAGAGGGAATCAGAGAAGGGAGGGAAGGAAAAAAGGACAGGGGCCAGTGTTGCCTGTGGTACCCCTGATCATCATTCGAGGCACCCCAGGGTGCCACAGGAAACTGGTTGAAAACCACTGCCCTAACCAAATAACTCAATACATTCGCAATGGTGTTGGACCTAGAGGTGAATCTTTGTGAAATCTGAGACTATGTGTTTCAACAACACGCCCCCCCCCCCATATTCAAAAAGTATTTCCCAACATCACGAAGATAAAACTTTGCTGCACCAAATTCAGATAGGGGCACAAATAACCAGAAACCTCAACAAACTATACTTCCACAACTACAACCTCCTTTGGCAAGAAATTAACAAAGACTTGAAGAAATGGAACAAATTCATTTCACCCTCCATGAAAGGCAGAAAAAACCTAAAATTTATTGATTGATTGATTGAATTTTTGATTTATATACCGCCCTATACCCACAGGTCTCAGAGCGGTTCACAGAATAAAATGAAAATATAAAGCCACAAAATACATAATTCAAATAAAAGTAACAGCAACACAAACACACCACAACAAAAAACCCCACATTTTAAAAGGGCATAGGAAGTCAATCAAATCAACCAAAGGCCTGGTTAAAAAAGAACATCCCTGCCACAGCATACCCATTCCATCAAAACAAACTAAGGAAAATCCCCACAACACTAAACAGCTTCACACAGCCCATGCTTAAAGCATAGAAGGAAAAAGTAGGAAAACTGTCCCCAACTGCATCCCCATTAACCCCCCTGGCCCACCATCCACTATTCCATCACGTAGCCCAAAACTTCCAAATAAAAAGTTGGCAAGCCAAAGGCTTACACCACCTAGCAGATTTCTACAAATATAACAAAACCATACTGACACAAGAAATACAAGGCAAACTAGGGGACACCCAAACACCCTGGCTAACACACCACCAATTACACACCTTCTTAAACACCCCAGCAGTAAAAGAGTAAAAGCAGCAGCCAGTAGGCCCTTGACCACCTTCAAAAACCTTCTCCTGACAGCAATGGGACATGGCAAGGGGATAGTATCCCAATATACAAAATTCTATTTCAGATCCCACAAATCCCACAAACCCCTTCATCTCAATCAAAAAGACAATGGGAGCATGGGACAGGTTACAAAATAAACCAATGGACTAAACTGTGGTCAAAACCACCCTTTAAACCCATCTCAACCAAAAGAAGAGAACTCACCTTGAAACCTATCTCTAATGGTACCTAACACCATGGTAACTGGCAATGATACATCCAGGAACCTTGCCAAAATGCAGGAGAGGTTGCACCTCTACAGGCACATACTTCCACATGTGATGGGACTGTCCCAAAATCCAACCCTTTGGGACATCATTCCTACAAGAAATATGCAAAGTAACTATACAGGTCTTAGAAGCCACCCAAGAACTGGCCTTATTGAATATTTTCCAAGACTAAAACACACACTCACACTACAAAGAGGTCATAAGCCACCTACTCTCAGCAGCCAGGAACATCATAGCTAGACACTGTGCCAGGAGTGAACATGGACCACTGGTGCCAAACTGGGAAATAGCCCTACTAGGAAAGCTAACCAACAAACAAACTGAACTAGCACGGGAACCAATAAAAGAGGATGCCTTTACCCTGGTATGGCTCAATAAGGCAACAATACGAACACACCGACAGCATATGAATCAATAAGGCTAACTTGACCCGACAACCCCTCCCCATCACTCACACAAACAAAACTCACTGCAGTCAACTGAAAGTAACCAACCAGACCCTGGACCCCACAACCTCTTTCACTGCCAAGGAAAACTAATAAATGAATAGAAAGAGAACCTACCCACCTGATGCTGACTCAAAAACCTTGCACATACACTGTGTAAGAGAATGAAAATTTACTACCTCCCTCTCTCCCCTCGCTTTCTCTCCCCACCTCTCTTCTCCCTCAATCTTATGCTGTATGCAACAGTAATGCCTCACATCAAATATAACTGATCTGTACAAAGGCCTTTATGATATGAAAACAGAGACAATTTTTGTAACCCAAACATCTTTAATAAAAACAATTTGCCTGTTGGAATATTTGTAAATATGCTGTTTGTGGTACATTTCACCTGCTACCTAGAGTGGGAATTACAAGAAGACAACAAATGGCAACTAATCGTTAACCATTATATTCCACGATCAGGTAACAGAGTAAACTGCATCACAATCCAGGCTATCGGAAATTTATGCTACCACTCTGAAGCCTCCATTGCAAAATGGAGGAGGTTTGAACAAATGTGGTAAGCAATTTTGTTTACGGAAACAAGAGGATCAAAATTTAGAAGAAACCAACTTATTGCTATAGACAATCTCTTTTTATAGATTATTTGCTTTGTTTGTCTACATAATGAAGCCATCTGTGCCAAGTGAGGGAGAAACAGAGGAATATCTATATCTATAGCCTTTACAATATATGAAAACATAACAGGAATATCAGAGCTGACTTTGAAGATTTTACAACCATGAGCAAAATTACTATAAAAACCAGTGCATTCACACTTGGAATTCCAACTGGTAAAAATATGATAAGTACCGTAATTGCTTAGAAACCGTTGCTCAAATCCTATCACGTAAGCTTAAAAAGCAATGTTTTGGTTTCCTGATTCCAGTAAAATTATTTAAAGGATGCTGCATATGACTCCAAGGACTAAGAGAACGTTCTCTCCCCCACCCTACACCCAGCTATTCTCCATCAATAATGTGAAAAGAATTTGCATTTGAAAACTATTGAAGGAGAGAGAGGAAAAGGTGAAATTCTCTAGGGTGGGATGTTGGTTGTTATTATTGTGCTTACATTGCCTTGGAGGTGGTCGGTGGTTTTTGTGAATGCTGTTGCTCTCATTCAACACATTGTCACTCCATTTCCTTTAGCTCCTCAGGTGCCTGCACTTTGTGAAAAACCTAGGTCATCCTTGGCTGGATTTTCCTATAAGTGTGGGAAGGGGTGGAGGCTGCCTACCATGCCCCTAGCAACTGTTCATTTTAAAAAATGATGTCTTTTTGCTTTTAAAGAAATAAATAAAATAATAAAATAATCCAAACTACTACCCCACTCAGTGGGACTTTGTAGAATGGTAAGGCTACTGCTGGATCTGATGCCCTTCTGCTCATAAATGCCATGATTGGGGGCTCAGGGGACAGGACAATCAGACCCATAGTTGGGCCAATGACTACGTCATATAACAGCAATGAGACTACTCAGGATCCAGTGGATCCACAAATGATATGTAATTATGTTTTTCCTCCTTATTTGCATATTGTTTCCATTGAAATGAATGGGGTAGAATTATGTCATAACAATGGTAATTTAAGTAATTAATTACAAAACTTACAAAAGTGTGCCTCTGTGGACAGTGAGAGAAATGACATTGTTTTGTGGAAGGCGAACTTCAGTGGAATGGGACCAGTGCTGTGTGTGACAAATACAGGGTGGGACAGAAAAAGATGCCTTCTTGAATCCCTTACACCCCAGGGGAGATACTCCTGGCTGAAACTCTGCAGAGCTGCTTCCAGTCAGAGTAGACAAATACTGAGCTAGATGTACCAATGGTCTTTCTCAGTATAATACAGCTTACTATGCTGAAATCAGTTGGGACTTATGTCCAAACCCAATGGCACTAATTCCAAGGGGTGCTGGGGGCCTGGTCACCCACAAAATTTTCACTGTGGGGGCCCAACCTCTGCCCACCACATGCTTTACCTCTTTATCTGTGGTGGTGACTGGGCCAGGGCCTCCGTATTCACTATGGGGCCCCTGTTGAGGCCCACCTCGGATGTGCATCTGGGGGTGTCTGTGGCCACAGCAGGCCTTGGTGGAGGCCTCACAGCAGAGGCCTTGGCCTGGTCACCGTGGTGGCAGCAGGGGTGGGGCAACAGAGCACCATTTCCATGGGGCTGTGGGCACCCACACTCTGCTGCCCCACCCCTGCCGCCACTACAGAGACATGTCTGTGGTAACAGAGGCCCAGCAGCGGAGGTGGAGGCCCTGGTGCCGGAGATCGGTGGTGGTCAGCTGTGACATGACCTGACATTGTGATGTCACATCGCGCATGCAAGCTGCTGGGCACCCACAGTCTGGGGCCCAAGTTGGCTCCTATGTCCAAACCTGAGTAGTCACATATAGGATTGTGTGGTTTTTAACATTAAGTCCTGACCCTGAGCTCCTCTTTAATTTGCTCTCTGCTTTTCCATGTTGTGCTTCTATATAAATGCCTGCTATGCCTCCGCTGGTGGTTGTTCTCCTCACAAACAAATGTTGAACACAGACTGTGCCAATGTTTTCAAGCTGCCTCTGATCTGTCACTCAGTGCAGAAGCTTCTCCGTAGCTGCCTATGCAAATATTTCCTCAAAATTACAAATATTCAAAACGTCAGAAGCGTAGGAGAACCTTTGTTAAAGCACCTTGTTTTATGGGATTAACAACAGCCTAGGATGTGTGGTGATGCTGACATGCTATTTGTACAAGGCTAAGGGGAAACAATGGACCAGCCGGGGGGGGGGGAGAGAACGATTGCAATAGTAATGCAACAAAGCTTCAGTGCAAGCCATAAATACAGTATAAGGCCTAAATATATAGACATGGATGTTTAAGTGCAGCACTGAAAACAGGGAGGAAAGTAACTATTTTTCAAGAGGGTAGTGCCTGCCTCTATCTGTTTCCTTTGCAGGTGGGAAGAGGTGGAATTAATTCTGAGGCGCAGACACCGGATTGGCACATTTGGAAACAAAATGTACCTCAGTATCTAAAAATCAAAGCACCATGAATATTTAACAGGGGAAAGAAAAGAATGATTTTTGTCATCTGGTAAAAGCATCTCTGAGAGGCTTACGCCCTGCTTGCCTCCTGTAAAATGGCTTTCTTTGTACACAGTGCGCCAGAGATGAGATTGCAGCCCTTAATTTTGAGCTAGGGAATGACAGTATCAGGTGTCGATTTGCAAGCCCCCTCCATAGAGGCTGGCCCCTCTCACTGTCCTCAGAGCTTGCTTACCGGTAACCTCCTCTGGCTGATATCTTGGACAGACCAGGGAGATTTTGATAGGCAACATTTTCCCAAGCATGGGTAAAATGCACAACCCCTCCCTCCTGCTTCCGGGAAAGAAAATAAGTCAGAAATCTATTTACATGATTTTTATTTCTGACATTACAGCACTAGAGAAAAACACGTCCTTTCAGTTCAGTTCTTCTAGCAGGTCTGACAAACTTCCTGAACATGCGCAGTCGGAAGGTTTCAAGTTACACTCTTCACAAAGACTTATCCAGCCTGTGAACGTCCTGGGAAATTCTTCTTTCCCACAGATAGGCACATCATGTGATGTCAACAATCTGGCTGTCTGCAGCAGTGATGTTTCCATATACTGACATCAGGACCCCAGAAGATGCTGCTTCAGAAATAGACACAAGGCTCTGGATTCCTCATTATACCTCTGGCAAATATATATAATGACAGAATCATGGAGCTGGAAAGGGGCTTAGAGGCCATCCAGTCCAACTCCCTGCTGACGGTAGAATCAGCAATGTAGCCTGCAGTGACAGCATCCCTGACATTTGGCTTCACAGCAAGGGTGGGGAGCCCCCAAGTGACTTTGCCTGGACCCTGGGACTCTGCCAAGGCAACAGACCACAGGCCACATCCCTCCCTGGCCCTGCTTGTTGTGGGAGATTTATTCAGTCAAACTCTGATTGGTAATTGTAGATTCAGGTAGGTAGCCGTGTTGGTCTGACACAGTCGAAATAAATTTTAAAAATTAAAAAATTGTTCAGTAGCACCTTAGAGACCAACTAAGTTTGTTCTGAGTATAAGCTTTTGTGTGCATGCACACTTCTTCTGCATGCAAGAGAGGCCCCTAACTCACCACAGGTATGAAGCCCATCAGCTACCCTCACCTGGTTTAGTCGGCCAGTCAAAGCTGTTTCCTGGGGGTGTGGCCGCTGTTGCATGCTGACAGCTTCTAGAAGCCACAGGCAAGAGCTGAGTGGGGACCAAAAGTGGACAAAGTAGGTTTTTGGCTACGTCACAAACTCAATGGCGGTAGCTCCTCGCTGCCCTCTGCAGGCAGTGAGGAGGTTCAGGCAGGGGAATGCCAGGATTTAAGAGGCAAAAATCCTTGCAATGTTCCCCAATGGGGTCTGGGGAGCTCACTGCATCCTGCTGAGCCGCTCAAGCCCATGTCTGCCAACTTGAAAGGCAGAGCAGGTGTGAGACTGTCCCTGGGAGTGTGTCCCTGCCATGGACAAGCCTCTGTCTCCAGCATGATTTGTGGTTGGTTCCTCCATAATTTGGACAATTGGCATTAATAAAGAGGCACTCCTGGACCGACACATGCTAATGGGCTGCAAACAGTCAGCTACCAAAAGGACTGGGCTTGGTGCTTTGAAGGTATCGGAATGCTTTCTTTAAAGCTTGAGAACCCCTACAAAAGCCAGGAAAGGAAGGGGGAGGACAAGGTGCTTTGCGCTTTCATATGATTTTCAAATGGTGTCCTTTCTTCTTGTCCTCCCCTGCAAAATGAAAGAGTCATGTGTAGCCTCTGTTATGTTATTCTGTCTAGTGGACTCCGAATAAGAAATAATGCAGCTATGTGAGGAAATGATGGTGATCATATGTTTGGAACAGGAGCAGGAAACCTGGTTTTAAGAAATTTGATTTGTAATAATTTGGAAAATTAATAAAAATAATTTGAAAAAGTGGACAAACTACCCCAGAAGGAGCAACATGTGTACCCCCACCAGAGGTGGTACCACTCCTCTAACATCCCATACACTCAAAGTACTCCCATTGAAATTAATAGTTAGTAATGTCTAACTATGTCTAATGACGCGGGTGGCGCTGTGGGTTAAACCACAGAGCCTAGGACTTGCTGATCAGAAGGTCGGCAGTTCAAATCCCCGTGACGGGGTGAGCTCCCGTTGCTCGGTCCCTGCTCCTGCCCACCTAGCAGTTCGAAAGCACCTCAAAGTGCAAGTAGATAAATAGGTACCGCTCTGGCAGGAAGATACACGGCGTTTCCATGTGCTCCTCTGGTTCGCCAGAAGCGGCTTAATCATGCTGGCCACATGACCCGGAAGCTGTATGCCGGCTCCCTCGGCCAATAAAGCGAGATGAGCACCGCAACCCCAGAGTCGGTCACGACTGGACCTAATGGTCAGGGGTCCCTTTACCTTTTTAATGTCTAATCATTTCCATGGATCTACTCTATGACTACCATTGGATGCAAGCCATTGGTTGTACCCAGCATTAGTTGTATTCATAATATACCTATTGAAAATAATGGACATGTCTGATCTCTGCTTATTAAGTATAAATTAATTTGATAAAACCCTATGCATCTGAGCAAGTATAGCTAATTTTCATGTGCATTTTTTTAATACCTAAAAGTTTGTCCTTACCCATTGTATAACCAACTGATCACTGCAGGAGAGGGCTGCTGCAAATGCCATCCCATCAGGAGGGATGTTTCTTATGATATAGGTATGAAACCTCCAAGGTGGTGGCACCTACTCTTTGAAACTCCCTCCCATTACATACCATGCACCCTCCATTTCTAGTGTCTGTTTCCTGCTGGACTCTCCTTTCCCAATAAGCCTTTTAAGTAGCGGTTCTTCTCTCTGTCTGTATTTCTATTGAATCTGAAATTGTTTTTAATATTAGTTTTTATTGTTAATAATTTCCTGAAGTTTCATGGGAAGCAATTTGTCAAAATTGTGCTCCTTAGGTTTCCCAGGACCCTGGTTATCTCTTTCTACATGGTGGGTCCTTTTTCTTCTGGGCTTAGGTATTCTTTTCATTTCAGGATACATTTCAGGACAGCCTTACTTGCTTCCTTGTGGGACAGCTTCAGGAGAAGAAAAAGCTAAGGTGTGAACCCTACACAAATCCAGAGCACAGTGGTTGCATGGCATCTTATATGCCTCCTTCTGACAACTCCTGCAGCAAAGCTGGTATCAAATTTATTGCTTTCCTTTCCTTTGGACCACATCAGCGATGCTGGGGTGGGTGGAGGGCTTGTTGTCTGGGCAGCCCAGAACCTCCATACACACTGTCCAGGCTTGTGCCCCAGAGATGTCCCACAACATGGGAGGCAGCCGTTGTGAGTTACAGGTGCTGTGATTCACTAGCAGTTTGACTTCACCCTTGGAGGTGCAATTTATTGTCTCTTGAGACAGATGAATGCAAACAAAACTAACCTATTTTCAGTAGACCCACACTTCCTACCTACAGCCCCATAGATTTATTATTATTATTATTGTAGCTTAGTGGTTCCCTTCTTCCATTATGTTGAATGGCTCACTGCTGGGTGTAATAACCTAGATATGCTTCCTTACCGTCACTGTACGAAAATCCAGCCATCTAACTGAGCTCCTTTCTCTCCTAGTTACTCTGGCTCAGTTTACTTGCTCTGAAACCCATAGCGTGGTCTGTAAACCCTTCAGATTCTCTCTGTCTTTCTCTTTCTTTCTATACCCCTGAGTGTTCTCTCTGCTGCTGCCAAGTCCAGCCTTATACTCTGATGCTGGGAGCACCTGGAGAGTTTACAAGCATTTCTGCCATCCTGTCTCATCACTTCTGGCCCACCCACACCTTTATCTGGTCAGCCCAGAATGTAAGCAACTTGGAAAGGAGAAACAACAACCACTCCATCCTCCCAATATGATTCATAAATGAAATGAAATGAATAAACAGCAGTTGCAGATTAATGTCAAAAGGGGTGTTACAGATTTACAAGCAAACATGTGTGTAAGTGACAGGAAACAATTATACAGAGTCATCTATCTCTATTGTGTTGAAGGAAAGGCAGTTTAGTTGCCATTTGACAGTCTTCTTCTTGGATACTGCTTCATGTTTTTCTAGTTCAAAGAGGTTCCAGGGCTCAGCTTCAGAGACATTGGCCCAAATTATGCCCTGCATGCCATTGCTGAGAATATTTTTCTCTTCATGAACCTGGTGGCTAGAGATAAGAGTGCCTCTGAGCACATGGAGAGTGGACCTTCTTTCTTCCTTCTAGGGGTGAGTAGGTTTCTCCCTGCTTACTTTATTTGTTGCCCCTGAATTCCTATTTTTGGAGAATTTGGACAAAAAAACCCTTCTGTCTAAGGGTTTTATGTCTATACGAAATCCATTATGCTGAGTTAGCTTTGTAAAAGAGGAGCCTATTGCTCCTGTACACTGCTAATATATTCTAGGAAGACCCTGTCCTTCCCCTTTGCAAAGACAGCTGTATTAGAATAAACAGTTGACAGTTCTTCTCCATTGACAAGTTCCCTTCCGCTTTGAAGAGGTTGAGACCTAAAAGACTTTTTGGGCTGAAACCCAGAGAAGTGTGTGTGAAACCTGCAGAGGGAATGTCATTTTGAAATCTGTTTTCCTGGCTGTGATCCGGATTTCCAGGGAAAATGGGCCAGCCTGTCATTGGCTTCAGATGCCTTATTTAAACATTAACATATGCTATTCTCACATATGTGTCCTGAACAAGTTTGTGCATGCATTTCTTCATTGTAGTCACACTGCATCTTGGGGCTATTTAAGCAGTACCCCTTTGCAATTCACTTATCGTGAACTGAAGCACTGCCAAGCAGAAACTGCCCTAAGGGTCATGACTTTACATAAATATTATAAAAAGACAAAGAAATGACAAAGAGATAATTTGATTACATTACTGTAAACATATACAACTACAGTGGTACCTCAGGTTAAGAACTTAATTCGTTCTGGAGCTCCGTTCTTAACCTGAAACTGTTCTTAACCTGAGGCACCACTTTAGCTTATGGGGCCTCCTGCTGCCGCCGTGCCGCCGCTGCACGATTTCTGTTCTCATCCTGAAGCAAAGTTCTTAACCCGAGGTACTATTTCTGGGTTAGCGGAGTCTGTAACCTGAAGCGTATGTAACCCGAGGTACTACTGTATCTGTATCTAGATTTGTGGCTACAGTCACGTACAACAGCCAGTGAAGACATCATTCCTCAAAACAGAGTTGATGCCTGGGATGAAATAATTTTAGAGTTCCTCCCAATATGTGTGAGTGGCAGTTCCACAGGTTAATGAACAGATATGGAAAGTGAATGATCTTAAAAAAAAAGAATAAACTGTGTTTGTGTGTGTTTCCCAGCTGCATTTTATCATAACATATAAATAAACCAGAGTAGCTCTGAAGTAGCACTTGCTAGTTATTAGAGAAGATTGATAAATAATAGTAATAGGGCCCAGCTAAGAGAGGACAACTGATTGCTGAGTGGGGTGGGGAGGGGAAAATGCATGCAACTTAAGAACAAAAAAGCCTGTCATTATCAAGAAGCAGTCATTCTTAAGCAGAAAAGGGCAGCAGGGCAACACGTATTTGCTCTCCCCAAAAGCCATCACCATCAGACTTTCCCTTAAGTGTCATGAAACAGCAGCCCTTCCAGCAGGCTGCCACAGAGGGAGGGGAAGGAAGGAAGGTTGTTGGCATCCATCTGCCTCAGGAGATGATGGAGGGGTGCACCTTTGGAGGTGAAGCTAAACTGTTGGAAAGTTGCAGTGTCTGCTGTGGCTGTGGAGGCTGATGCGGGAGAGACATGTTTTGTTGAAGCTGGAGCAGATGAAGGTGTCCAGTTGTGCTGCTGCAGATGCACCATGGCGCTTCTTCTCTCTGTGCCTCTCCCAATGATAACTTTTCTGGTAACTGCTGTGGATATATGTCCTGACTTTCTCCAGGCACTGCAGTCTTCTGCAATGTATTCCCACATGGTGGGGTTAATGTTGCTAGCCTTCATGTCATGTTTGCAGACATCTCTGTAACACAGAGTTGGTCTGCCAATGGGCCTGGTGCCTGAAGGCAGCTCCCCGTAGAGCATATCCTCAGGGATCCTGCCATCTTCCATTCTGTGGACATGACCAAGTCAGCATAAACACCACTGAGAGAAGAGTGTGAACATGCTGGGAAGCTGAGCTTTGCTTGAAACTCTGTCCTGCCATGTGATACCCCAAATCCTCCTGATACAGCACATGTGGAAGGCATTGGGACATCGTATCTAATGGTTGTTAGCTTTCCACAACACTTTCATAAAAAGTAAAGGTAAGGGACCCCTGGGTGGTTAAGTCCAGTCAAAGGCAACTATGGGGTGCAGCTTTCATCTCGCTTTCAGGCCAAGGGAGTCGGTGTTTGTCCACAGACAGCTTTCCAGGTCATGTGGCCAGCAGAACTAAACTTTTGGAGCAACAGGACACTGTGACGAGTGCCAGAGCACTTAGAAACACCGTTTACCTTCCCACCGCAGTGGTACCTATTTATGTACTTGCACTAGTATGCTTTCGAACTGCTAGATTGGCAGAAGCTGGAACAGAGCAACGGAGCTCACCCCATCATGCAGATTCAAACTGCTGACCTTCTGATCAACAGGCCCAAGAGGCTCAGTGGTTTAGACCACAGTGCCACCTGCTCCATAAAGCAGAGTGCTCAACACACAAGCCTGGTAGATCTTCATCTTGTTTGTAGACATTAGCATCACATTCTGCTCTGCTGAAGTCTTCACCATCACACTTTCCCTTTCCCTCAACTATTATTCAGCAATTGTCATCCTATCAAATTTCACTAGAGGGAAAGAAGGAAGGCAGCGCTACTCCATCGGCTCTGCTGAAGGATTAACAAACTTTAGCTGCTCCCCTCCAACTTTTTCTGTTTAGGTGGTCATTCTAAGGACTTTGTAACTATGAACTAGTGCCTGTGGGAAAAGTTATAGTTCAGTGGTAGAACATCTGTTATGCATGCTTAAGATCCCAGGTTCAATCCCTGACATCTCCAGATAGTGCTCAGAGAGACCTGTGCCTGAAACCCTGGAGAGCTCCTGACAATGTACATAACATTGAGCTAGATCGACCATTGGTCTGACTCAGTGTAAAGCAAGTTCCTACATACCTTTCCCAGTTCCGTCTACACAAACTATACAAATTCTGCCTTGGGGAAGAAGGTTACAAGGCTACCATGTTCCATACTTCCCTATGCATTATTGACACTCACTATGTGCAGAATAGCATGGAAAAATTCCTCTTCTTATTCATAAAACATCAGATGTGTTTTGAGACCGTTATTTTCCACATGACACTTTGCCAGAAATGAAGGCAGGCAAAGCACCAGTGAAATGACTCGAGAGCAGCACAGAGGAGGGAGAAAGGAGATAGCTGTCAAGTAAGATGGGAACTCCAGGGTGTGCTAAACAAAGTAAAAGGTGTGTCAGTCTTCCAAGCATCTGCATAAGGGAAGGGGTGTTATGCATGAGTACATGGCAGCTTCTTTTCCCTCCCTCCCAGTTAATTAACCTCCTTCACCTTTATGCTTTTAGAGACAGACACTGTCCTTAGTCCTGTATCAAGGTCTTGATTAGCACAGGCCAAGCAAGACTTGCAAGCTGAGTAATTTCAGGATGAACAAAAGCTATAGAAATGAGGACCCCACAGATTTAGGGAGACTTAGGCCATGGGTGGGAACCATTTTTCAACCAAAGGGCCACATTCAATTCTGGGCAACCTTTCAAGGGTCATGAATCAGTACTGGGTGAGGCCAAAGGCAAAACTGGACAAAGCAACAAATGACCATATAACATTTGTACAGTAGGCTAGTTCTTAGACAACACAGCCATCTTTATCTTCCATCCAGGTAAGCAAGAGGCATTTATCAGAGTTGAAGAATGCATTCCAACCAGGCAAAAGCACTTGGACCAGTATAGGGTGTGGTTTATGGAAAGGGTTCACCTAGGGAAAATTTTGAGGGCCAGATAGAAATGAGTCATTCGGCCTCTGGACGTGAGGTTTCTGACCTCTGGTTTAGACAACGGGCAACAAGATCAAATGAGGTGGGCTGTGCCTCAACTCCTTCACCAGTACTTTGTATGCAGCAAGTAGGTGTTACTCAGAGTAGACCAATCAAAATCAATGGACCCAAGTTAGTCATGTCCATTATCTTTAGTGAGTCTACTCTAAATAGGATTAGCAATGAACATAACCCAATGGATGAAATCCACTCAAACTCTGAAATCTGAATGGGTCAGTCCAGTGTCCCCAAGCAGCTGGTGACTCATTGTGTGTTTGTATTGCACTGAGACACATCTCCAATGTCATATCAGCTTTCAGCCCCAAAGTCTTACTTTTCAGCTCTTGTTAAATATTTGCAAGCCATCACATCCCCTCTCCATCTCTAGACAAAACATACCGGTATCTGTTTCTGACTAGCCTTTTCATAACTCTTCCACTCCTAAGTCCTTTCCAGTTTTGTTAGCATTCTCCCTGGACCACAACAAACAGGACTAAGCTCAGTAATTTAGATGTGGCTACACCAGTGGAATTTATCCCTTTGCTGCCGATTCAACAACTGGGGGTCAATTTTATGATAATGTTTGTTTAGGATTTTGTTTTTAATTGCATATGCTTTTACATCATGTTTAAGCAATCTCATGGATCTCGAGGGTAGAAATATGGATGCAAATGGCTTCAGTAAATAAATGACATCTAGTACTGCCTGCAAGTCATAACACCAGTCAGTGCCTGCCTCTAACCACTCCCCTCATTATATATATTTCATTGTTTTAAATGCTACAGTTTCGGAGAAAAAGCTGCGGACACTCTAGCTGCAAGCAGTAAATCATCCAGTCCTTTTCTCCTGGATGTGGGCTGAAGAAGGGAAGCTGATGATGAATGGGGCTGTCCGTATTTACATTGAGAGCGGAACAGCTGTGAGAATCTCCCCGCACCACGAGTATCCCTTGCAAACACCCCCCTTTCTTTCCTTCTCCACTACTGCTTGCTGACAGTGATGGATTGTCTACTTCTGTGCAGATCTACCCAGTTGCATAAACTCCCTACCAGTGCTTGATATGATTGGGAACAAATTCCATTCCTTCTGGGTGCCATGGAATTCTTTCAGAAGATATTGGTATATGCCATGGCTTGGGCAAGAAAGGCTGGAACATAGGAAGCTGCATTACACTAAGTCAAACCACTGGTCCACCTAGCTTTGTATTGCCTGCACTGACTGGCAGAAACTCTCCAGGGTTACAGGCAGGGGACACTGCCAGCCCTACTTTAAGATGCCAGGGATGGAACCTGAGACCTTCTTGCAAAACAAACACTCTACCACCGAGCCATCGCTGCTCCCCTAACTAAGATGCTGATCCTCATGGTTCTGAATAAAGGACTGATTGAAATAAGAACATACAGAGGTGCCAAATACCGTCAGACCATTTTCATCTAGCCCAATATTTTCTGCACTAATTGGCAGTGGCCCCCCATGATTTCAAACATGGGACATCCCTAGCTCTGCCTGGAGATTCTGTGAATTGAAGCTGGGACCTTCTGCACTCAAAGCAGGTGCTCCACCACTGAGCTATGGCCCTTCCCTGATACAAATATGGCAACCCTAACATAGAGCAGTCAAGTCCAGCATTCCCTGTTTTTCTAGAATGGACACACAGAGGAATGTGGCTCCGAACTTCCTGTCATACCTGTTGGGAGCCACCTCCCCCTGAGTGCGATCAGGTAGATGGGCATGACTCAAGTAAAGCCCTAATAAAAGGGTTGTGCACACAGTCATCTTCCTCTCTCCCTCTCTTGCTCCTTTTGGATATATTGATCCTGCTGTTCATATTCAGCCTCATCCATAACAAAGGATGTAGGCGGGACATAGGAAGGGGGGGCGGGGGGAGGTTCCCCCTGGGTGCCATCATGGAGGGGGGTGACAAATCATCAAGGAACAATTACTGCCCTACTAGGACGGTTCATAAAAAACTTTTTTTATATATAAAAAAAGCCTGCTCCAAAGGTTTTATCTTCCTACACTAGGGATTATATAGCTATATATGAAATTTCATGCATATCAGTTAATATCTTGACCCACCTCCATGAAAATAGCTGTTTACTTGGCCGTTTCCCTATGTTGTGAAGGCTGAAATTTCAATTCACTGGAGCACTTACTGTTCCCAACCCTAACCCTGCGGAAAGCTATCTAATTAGACTTTAATTTGATTTTGACATGTTTTTAGGAGGTAATTTAAATATTGTTTGATTTTATTTATTTATTTATTTTAAATAATATTTATTGCTTTTCCAAAAAATTTAAACACTAAAAGAAAAGAAAAAACACATACAATACAATACATTAAACTAACAAAACAATGCAACAATAAAATAAATCAAATTTCATTATCCCATCTTTCATTCACTTCTTTCCTTGGCCTCCTCACACCTCCCTTTTTGTATTCCACTTCTGTTAATTATTTCAGCAACTCCTTTCCATCTACCTCTGTTTTCTATCCTATAATTATCTTAACTCATTCTAAATATTGTTTGATTTTATACCAATGTTATGTATCTGATGTTAGCCACCCTGAGCCCAACTTCGGGCGGGGAGGGCGGAATATAAATAAAAGATGATGATGATGATTTCCTTTGTAAGAAAATATGAAATAATGTAAAACCATTTTTGCAGGCAAAAAAAAAAAATCAATTGGGGGGGGGGTGACAAGAAATTTTCCGCACCAGGTACCGCCTGACCTTCCTACGCCTCTGGATGTAGGCCCATGTGGTAAGTCTGAGACTAAGTTCAGACGACAGTTTACTTCTCTACATTTTATTATACAAGTGAAACTGCAACTGCAGCTAAAGCCTGACGTCAGATTGCTACTGAATGTGAACTAACTGTGAATAAACTTTATTCTTATTTTTAAAAAGATTGCTTTGTCTTATTATTATTTTAAGCGGGAAATAAAAGGGAAATTACCAGGAAGAACCCATAATTACCAGGAAGATTGCTTAATTAAAAGGTTGACACCAGCCATCAACAGTTTCCTGCTACTATTTGCCGCAAGGAATGTGCTCTGCTCTATGTGCTTACTAACATGAATGAGGAAGGGTTGTATATAATTAATAGATCTCTAATCTTCCTCAACATTCCTACAAGATCCCCTTTAATCAGCTTGATTCAGTTTGGAAATCAAGCTTTAATTGAATCTGGGTCACAGCCCTAATATTCATGGTTCTTGCCCTCCCTGTTCATCACACTATGCACTCTTCCATGTATCCCAAAGGAAGGTGGTATATAAATGGATTGGTGGATGGATTGAAAGAATGGCTGCTAAGTGCATAACAGTACCCCAACTCTATCAGATGTAGGGCTTAATCTCTTTTACTGTGTGTATTTTAAAGCCCACCCTCCCTCTAAATGGGGTTTTGAGCACTAATTACATCAAAGGCAAGAAGGGGATTTAACAAGGTGCACCTTAGCCAACCAATATGGGGGGAGAGAGCACAGATAGCACTGGCTCTGATCAGAGTCACGGGAAGATAGGAGAAGGCCCTAGCAAGTTTTGAGAACCCAAGCATGGTTAGGATAGAATCTGCAACACCCCTCAAAGAGGATCAAATATCCCATCAGCTAGGACATTTTATATCCTTCTGAGGAGAGAATTGGGTGAGATGCTTGAAGTCAATCAACCCTACCAACCTCAATTTCATGACTGTCTTTGGGGGTGCTTGAACATTCTTGACATCTCTAAGTCTTCTCCTCTGCCTTCAGAATTCAACCTTCCTTGCTTCTGTTGTCACTGTTTCTTTGAAAATACAATCTCCTGCGCTCCTCCATCATTCCTCTCTCTTCATTGTTTCCCTTCTTGTCTCCATTCTTTCTCCATTTCATGAAACCGTTGACATCTTGTTTACTTCTGATGTCGAAATAAAGAAATTTCATTTCTGAAGCACATTTTCTTCTGCTGTCAATGTAGCTGGGGCGGGGGGGGGGGGACAAGATATGATGCTTCAAAGGCACCAATCAACTTAAAAACAACAACAAAAACTAGACAAAAGGAAGTTCAAAGTAGATGCCTCCTCCCTTCTTCCAGCAAATATGAGACTGCTATGCCAGTTTCATGATTGCCAGGCTGTTTAGCTTAGTAAAAGCATCTCCAGCAAATCTTAGAGATCGTATTCCATACACAAAGAAAAAATGCATTTACATTATGTCCCAAATAGTTGACAGACTGCCTCCTTTCATATAGACCTAGCCAGAAGTTAATATTATAGAGGGGATTCTTTTTGTAGTTCAGCACCCTCCAAAGATTTTTGGGGAAGTGGAAGCCTGGGAGAAGCCATTTTCTGTGGAAGCCCCTAAGCTTTGGGATGCTCACCTCACAGATACATGTCTGGCACCTTCATTATACAACTTTCATCATATGCTGAAGACTGCCTTTGCACCCTTGCCATGGAAGAGAGATATCCCTCCCTAGTCCTCTGATTTAAAACTGTTCTAACTAATTTTAGTTTTGCATTTTTATATTGTTGTACCTTCCCTGTGTCCTTATGGTGAAGGGCAGGTAAAAAATGCACAGCCCTAATATATGCCACGTTGACCTTCTGAGGAAAGGTGGGGTATAAATGAATGCATTCATGGATAAATGAACAAATAAATACAAAAATTACTACTGGGAGCGTAAAAGGAGTCCTGCTAGATCAGACCAAAGGCCAATCTCTTTCAATGGGCCTATGGCTTGTGGATTACAAAGAAAACTATGCCCTCTTACTTCATACTCCATTGCATTCCTCTCTCTCCTACTGTTCCATTCCAGCCCCTCGTGTTTCCCTCCTGAGTGTCTCCTCCTCTTCCTCCTTCATGTGTGTACATCATCAAACCTTGGGGTGCTCCTGACCTGGCGATAGCTCACTTTTATGGGTAGATGGTGTTTTGTTGGCTGCACAAGGATTGGCACTCAGAGAATTGTGTTTCCTATTAGTGGTGATGGTGATGAGAGGATGAAGCTAAGTGGCCTTTTTAGGGTCAGACATGCTTCTCTTGAAGTGTATCACTGACATCTTTCCCAACAGTACCCCGACCCCAACCCTCATTTCTGAATGGAGACAGAAAGAATAAATGAAAACCCAAGGGATGGGATGGCGTCACCCTTTGAAGTTTCCTCTCTTTTCTCCTTTTGCCTTGCTGAGTGATCAAGGAGCCCCCTCTCTCTTTCTTTTCCCCTTTCCAGTCACACACAAACATTTCCTGGGTTAATTCTTTCCTTGCTGAGCCTGGAAATTAGATAGATTGGAGATTTATAGCTAGTGAAAACAACAACAACAATCTACTTCTATCAAGGATTCAAATGATTAAATATCACACCCAGGAAATGCTTTTAACTTCACTTACAGTACAATCTCAGTACAGTACAATCAGTACAGTACAATCTCACTTACACACCAAGGCAAGCAACAGAAAATCAACCTGTGTAATAAAGATCTGGAGTGGGAAGGAGGGTGAGGGCAATCGGGATGAGGAAAGACAGAGATGAGGAGAAAAGATGCAAGGGACAAGGAGACAAATGAAGAGATAACCTAGAAAGAGAAGTGACTCCCCCCCCCCAGCTGCAGCTTTAAAGACTATTAAGACCATCTCGATGCACTGATGGGAATCAATTGTCTTTGGGCACATACATTTTGGGCTGCTGGTTCTCCAAGAAAGAAATCCCAGGCAGATGTGAACAGCCAATAAAGGGTCAGCGTGTGTAACAAACTTTATGTCAGAGATGGAGAAGCTGTGGTTCTCTGTTTCTGTTTGGATAAAAACTCTCATCAGTCCCAGCCAGCATGACCAATGTCAGGGATGATGGGTGCTGTTATCCAATGGTATCTGAGGAATCAATTCCCCCTCAGTGGACCAGTCTCCATTGTACAGACAACCAACTAAAATACTGAGATTTATACTGGACAATGTTGCTTGCTATTTTCTAGGTCTGTGAACACTCCTCTAACCAGAGGAACACATGACCAGCATCCAGCACTGAATCAATTCAGGGACGAATTAGGAATTTTAAAAGCATGTACAGTTGTGAGGGGAGGAGAATCTGTGTCTTCTTCCCTGCTTCCAACTACACTGGAAGGTTGCCCAGATGGGAATGTGACTCTCAGGCTAAAAAATGTTCCCTAGTCCTGCACTATCATAATCACTCAAGAAAGTCAAGATTTCTCAGCATGCCAGCCTCTCCTCACCACACGAAGCCACGTGTTCTAATCTAAATTTCCTCTAAAGAAACTACTCTTGGTAATGGTGGTTGCAGACGGTCTCAGTGGCTCTCATTATGAAGTTTGATGCCGCATAAAATCACCATTGTATAAGACAAGAGAAAAACAGGTGTATAAATAATTCATGGAAGCAAGGAGCAGGGCATAATAGAGGGCCCCATTCCTTCTCCTTCCCCATCTCTCCATGGGGCAGCATGTGCCACAATTAAGGTCCAGAGCTGAAGTCCATACATCAGGCTTGCTAACTTTAGCTCCACAAAGACACTTGACAGAAAGAAGCTGCTCACTTTTCACCTCCTGCACAGCACCTTGCCAAGGCAACTACCCAA